AACCTGGCCACACAAAGCACACACTTCTTGGTATTCACTGAAAGTGCAGACATTCTACTAAGCCACAGAGGTTAGTTCAAAGGTAAAAGCCACCAGAGGAAAAAGATCAACAAGCAATTCCACAAATACCTAAAAGTGCAGAAATTCAAGAAACAAGAATAAAGAACATACCACGACCTGCACCCCAAAGAACACAACATTTTAATGTTAGAGTGTGAAGATGCAGAGATTGATGGAATGTAGGAAACAGAATTCAAAATTTAATCATAGGATTACTCAAAAGCAATCAGAAGCAAATCCATGAACTAAAGAAAACTATGATATGAATGAAAGTTTTTTCAAGAAATTGAGATTTTTAAAGAGAAATTAAAATGAAATCCTAGAAATGAATAATTCAATGGATCAAATAAAAATACAGCAATGAAAAAGGATATGTAACAACAAATACCACAAAAAAAGAAACATCAAGAATTACTACAAAGAGTTTTATGTAAACAAACTGGAAAACCTAGAAGAAATGGATAGATTTCTGGACACATACAATCTACCAAATTTGAACCATGAAGACATAGAAAACCTAAACAGACCAATAATCAAGATGGAAACTGAATCAATAGTAAAGACTCTCCCAACAGCTTCACTGCTGAATTCTACCAGACATTTAAAGAAAAACTAATTCCAATTTAGCTCAAGCTATTTAAAGCAATTGAAATGGAAGGAATCATCCCTGACTCCTTCTATGAAACTAGCATCATCTTCATTCTTAAAGCAGAAAAAGAGAACTATAGACCAATTTCCCTGGTGAACATAGATGCAAAAATCCTCAACAAAATACTAGCTAATTGAATCAGACAACACATCAGAAAGATCAGACCAAGTGAGATTTATTCCTGTTATTTATTTCCAAATTTGCAAATCAATAAATGTGGTAACATCACATTAACAAACTGAAGCACAAAAATCATATCATTCCCTCAAGATGTCGAGAAAGCATTTGATAAAATACAACATCCTTTCATGATGAAAAAACCTTTAACAAACTGGATATAGAAGGAACAGTCTCCACACAATCAAGACAATTTATGACAAACCCATGGCCAGCATCCTATTGAATGGGGGAAAAGTCAGAAGTATTTCTCCTAAGATCTAGAACCACAAATGGATGCCCACTGTCACCATTGCCATTTAATATAGTCTTGGAAGTTTTAGCAGAGCCATTGGCAAGAAAAAGAAATCAAATGGATACAATTGGAAAGGAAGAATTTAAACTATCTGTATTTGCAGAGAACATGATTCTAGACATAGGGGATCCAAAAGACTCCACTGAGAGACTATTGGAACTCTTAAAACAGAGTTTGGTAAAGTAGCAGGATATAAAATCAACACAAAAAAGTAGTAGCTTTTATATACACCAACAATGCTATGGCTGAGAAAGAACTTTTAAGATCAATCCCACTCACCTAAAAAAAGAATTAAATACCTTGGAATAAATTGAACCAAGGATGTCAAAGATCTCTACTAGGAAAATTATAAAACATTAAAGAAAGAAACTGAAGAAGACACACACACACACAAAAAAAAAAAAATGGAAAAATCTTCCATGGTCATGGATAGGAAGAATCAATATCATCAAAATGTCCACACTACCAAAAGCAATGTATAGATTCAATGGGATACCAGCCAAAACACTAGCAACATCCTTTTCAGATCTAGAAAAAAAGGATGCTTAAATTCACATAGAAATATAAGAGACCCTGAATAGCTAAAGCCATCTTATACAACAAAAACAAAGCCAGAGGCATCACAATACCAGATTTCAAGATATACTACAGGGCAGTTATAATCAAAACAGTCTGGTATTGGCACAAAACAGAAGTACACACCAGTGGAACGGAACAAAAACTCCTGAAAGCAATCCACGCATTTACAACCAACTTACCTTTAACAAAGGAGCTAAAATCAATCCCTGGACAAGGACAGTCCATTCAACAAACAGTGCTGGGAAACTGGATGTCCACTGGATGCAGGCATATGAAGCAGGACCCTCACCTTACATCTTACACAAAAATCCATTTAAAATTGATTTCAGACCTTAATCTATCAACTTATCATCAAATTACTGGAGAGCATTTGGGAAATCCTGCAAGACATTGGCACAAGCAAAGAGTTCTTAGAAAAGACCCCAGAAGCACAGGCAATCAAAGCCAAAATTGACAAATGGAATTACACCAAGCTACAAGGTTCTGCCCTGCCAAACAACACTCAATAACATGAAAAGACAACCAACAGAATAGGAGAAAATATTTTCAAACTGTGCAACTGATAGAGGGTTAAATCCAGAATCTATAAAGAACACAAGAAATTCGACAACAAAACAAACAATCCAATTAAGAAATGGGCAAAGGACTTGAACAGATACTTTTTATTTATTTATTTATTTATTTTTATTTGACAGGTAGAGTTATAGACAGTGAGAGAGAAAGACAGAGAGAAAGGTCTTCCTTCTGTTGGTTCACTCCACAAATGGCTACTACGGCCTGCGCTGCGCCAATCCGAAGCCAGGAGTTAGGTGCTTCTTCCTGGTCTCCTATGTGGGTGCAGGGGCCCAAGCACTTAAGCCATCCTCCTCTGCCTTCCCCAGGCTACAGCAGAGAGCTGGACTGGAAGAGGAGCAGCTGGGACTAGAATCCGGTGCCCATATGGGATGCTGGTGCTGCAGGCTGAGGTTTAACCAAGTGAGCCATGGCGCCGGCCCCCAGACACTTTTTAAAAGAGGAAATTCAGCACTTAAAAAAGTGCTCAGGATCAGGGCCAGCACTGCGGTGTAGTGGGTAAGGCTGCTGCCTGCAGTGTTGACATCCCATATAGGCACAGGTTCAAGTCCTGGCCTCTCCACTTCTGATCCAGTTCTCTGCTGTGGCCTGGGAAAGCAGTGGAAGATGGCCCAAGTCCTTTGGCCCCTGCACCCATGTGGGAGACCAGGAAGAAACTCCTGGCTCTTGGATTCAGACTGGCACAGCTCCGGCCATTGTGGTCAATTGGGGCGTAAAGCACTGGATGGAAGACCTGTCTGTCTGTCTGTCTGTCTCTCTCTCTCTGCTTCTCTTCTCTCTGTGTAACTCTGACTTTCAAATAAATAAGTAATTCTTAAAAAAAAAAAAAAAAGGTGCTCAGGATCACTAGCCATTAGGAAAAGGCAAATCAAAAACACAGTGAGTTTTCACCCTACCCCAGTTAGAATGACTCTAATACAGAAATCAACAAACATCAAATGCTGGTAAGGATGTGGCATACAAGGTACCCTAATCCACAGTTGGTGGACATGTAAACTGGTGCAGACACTCTGGAAGACAGTAGGGAGATACCTCAGAAATCTGAAAATAGACCTACCATATGATCCAGCCATCCCACTCCTGAGAACTTACCCAAAACAGAAGAAATCAGCATCAGAAAGAGTTATCTGTACTCCCATGTTCATTACGCAGCTCTGGCCTTTGCAGCCATAGGAAGAATGAATCAATGGATGGAAAACCTCTCCCCCCCCCCCCCCCTCCCTCCCTCTCTCCCTCCCTCTGCTTCTCTGGAACTCTGTCTTTCAAATAAATAAATAAATCTTTAAAAAAAAAAAAAGGACATAAAGAGAATAGTGTTCAACAGTACATAGAGATAACACTATGTAATAATGAACGGATCAAGTACAAAAGGGCAGAAAAAAGACTGAGATCATATGCATATACATCTTACACCATTCAACAAGAGAATACCCATTCAGTTCAAGTTCACAAGCAACATTTCTAGAGAATATGATTCACTCGTCCATAAAAATAACCAAAATAAATGAGGTATTCTCTGATCATGCTGGATCTCAAGTGAAAATCAGGGATGAGCATTTGGTGTAGTGGTTAATATGCCACATCAGATGCCCATGTCCTGTATTTAGTGCTTATATTTGGGTCCTGGGTCATCTCCATATTCGAGCTTCCCGCAGATGTGTACTCTGTAGACAACAGTTGATGACTCATGCAGATGAGTCTCTTCCACCCATGTGAAAGACCTGGATGCAGTTCTAGGTTCTAGGCCTCACCCTGATCCAGCCCTGATAGTTGTGTGCAATGGGGAGTAAGCCAGTGAATGGGAGATTTCTCTGCCTATGTATCTCTCACATTTTCAAATGGAAAACTAATTTCTTTAAAACCTGGAAACTGGAGCCAACACTGATACCAGAGGATAAAGCCACTGCCTGCAATGCTGCCACCCTCTATGAGCACTGGTTCATGTTTCAGCTGCTCCATTTCCCATCCAGCTCCCTGCTAATGGCCTGGGAAATGTAGCAGAAGATGGCCCAAGTGTTTGGGCCTTGGCTACACATGTGGGAGGCTTGGATGAAGGTCCTACATCCTCGTTTCAGCCTGACCTGGGATTAGCCATTGCAGCCATTTAGGGAGTGTACTAGTGCATGAGAGATCTCGCTCTCTCTTTAATTCAGACTTTCAAATAAATATGTAAATCTCTGAAAAAAAAATAAAATCTGGAAACCAAATACAGAAGGGTACTGAATACCACACACCTGTGGAAATTAAGCATCATAATCTCAAATGTCTAATGAGCCATAGAAGAAAACAGGAATTTAGAAAATATTATGAAATTATTGAAAATTAAAATAAAGCATACATAAACTCACAGGATGTAGTTAAAATAGGATTTAAAGCAGAATGAATGGCAGTAAAGGTTTAAATTTTAAAAACAATATGTGAAATCAATAAGCTACCTTTCCACCTTAAGAAACTAGAAAAATCAGAGAAATTAAAGATAGAGTGAGAAAGGAAAAGGAAATAATGGTGTATGGCTCCCAACTTGCAGAGAGGGAACATGGGGGAGATGATGGCTCACGTCAAGGGATCCCTATGACCACCAAGATCCTAAAGTCTCTCAATCCAGCCACACCCCACAGGCGGTTTATCTTTTTTATTTTTTTTTCAGAGTTATTTTATTTTATTTGAAAAGCAGAGTTATAGAGAGGCAGAGGCAGAGAGAGATAGGTCTTCCATCTGCTGGTTCACTCCCCAAATGGCCACAATGGCCAGAGCAGGCTGAACCAATGCCAGGTGCCAGGAGCTTCTTCTGGGTCTCCCACATGGGTGCAGGGGTCCAAGGACTTGGGCCATCTTCTACTGCTTTCCCAGTCTACAGCAGAGAGCTAGCTTGGAAGTGGAGCAGCCCGGACTTGAACTGGCATATGGGATGTTGGCACTGCAGGTGGCGGCTTTACCCACTATGCCACAGCGCTGGCCCCCTGACAGGTTCTCTCTTTACTTGAGTCTTTCCTATTCATTCCTGCCCCATTTCTAGATTTTTCTGATTTCTCTGAGACAGCCACACTATGTGTTGTGAATACAAACTTTATGCCAAATGCAAAGAAGGCCCAGACCAGATATACCCACTTGCTTTTGTCTACCCACCTCTTGCCAGACCTGTTTGGCTTGCAGCATAAAGAAATGGACACCAGGGCTGGCGCCGCGGCTCACTAGGCTAATCCTCCGCCTTGCGGCGCCGGCACACCGGGTTCTAGTCCCGGTCGGGGCGCCGGATTCTGTCCCAGTTGCCCCTCTTTCAGGCCAGCTCTCTGCTGTGGCCAGGGAGTGCAGTGGAGGATGGCCCAAGTGCTTGGGCCCTGCACCCCATGGGAGACCAGGAAAAGCACCTGGCTCCTGGCTCCTGCCATCGGATCAGCGTGGTGCGCCGGCCGTGGCGGCCATTGGAGGGTGAACCAACGGCAAAGGAAGACCTTTCTCTCTGTCTCTTTCTCTCACTGTCCACTCTGCCTGTCAAAAAAAAAAAAAAAAAATGGACACCATTTAGACCAAGTGCACTTGTAAGCAGAGAGTATGTGTGGATCCTCTGGATGCTAGTAGTATATATGAGACCTAGATCAGACAAAGGGCTATGCTGTTCACTGCTAAACACACAATTTCTTCATCAACCAAATGATCCCCACCTCTTCTCTGGAGACCCAGGGTAGCTAGATGGACACTATATGAGGTGGTGGGCAAGGGAGACAAGAAACCCAGAAACTCAGTCTAATCCCATGATCCCAGAAAGCAGCAGCAGCAGTAAGTAAGATCTTTTCCAACCATCATTGGTGGTCCCTGTGTCTGTTGGGATGCTCAGGTAACCAGGAAATGAAACTGCTCCATGCCAGGAGACAGGCAAGACTGCAACGTGGACAGGATGTGTGAAGCCTGATCTAAGCTCAAATCTGTAAGCCAGACTGCATGTATAGTGAGTGGGTCATATCATCATGTCACTCCCTCTATCTCCCTGACCTAATTTTTGAGGCCTGCAGGCCCAGGAAGGAGGCTATACAGTCACCACCTCAGCTGTAAGCCTGGCTCCAGCTGTGCCCAAATGTCTACCTCCCTCCAACCCACTGCTGGTCCCCCTTGGAGCCCAGGTCTTTTCCCAACTGCCTGAAAGAAACTCTAGGGGAAGTGAAGAGTTACCGTAGCTTGCAAGGCACTTATCTGTTGGAAAGGAGCTCTGGGATGAGACCAGGAATAGGTCTGCAGGATGGATGGGCCCTGCAGATCCTGGGCTCTGAAAAGCTCTCATGTGCTACTTCAGCTCAGAAGTTCATTTCTGCTGTACTCTGTCATTTGTTCTGCTTTAGAATCACATTTTCCTGGCTGGGTGGAACGCATCAGTGAGAGGCAATATTTGGGACATTCTGGCTTGAATGCTAGTAAGGTAATAACTAAGATTTCCAAGTCCATCTCCACTTTTATTTCCTACGTGCCTTTCCTCTATTTGCTTGCCATATTCCACTTCTGAACCCAACAGAGAGAGGTGACAAGGTCTCCAAGTATGATGTGTCTACTCCCTTACAGTGATTAATTTTCACTTTATATATGCTAAGGCTGAGTTGGAAGAAACATAGAAATTTAGAACTGCTTGATCAACTGGAGTAATTAAATATTTTACTGCTTCAGATTTTTCTCATTCTCTAAAACTTTTGCTCTTAAAAAGAATAGCAACTTTACCTGTTATTTATTTACCTGTTATTTAATTTTATGTAAAATGTACATAAGCATTTACTTACCCTATAATCTGTGTTCTTTGTTGTATTTGAGGTCTGCATCTCATGATTAATATTTGAGAGATCTCCAGGGTGCATGACTAGGCTAATGGGCTTTCCCTGATGGGTAGCAGTAGAGGCGGGAGGGGTGATTTCCAGGCCTGTCCTCAGGATGGGAAGTAGGAAGAATGACTGCAGCTAGAGCGTCTTTCACCACATCTGTAGCCTGGTCACCAGGGAAAGGCCATGACACTTGGGTGACCTGTCCATCATGAGCGGGAATGTGCTGAGATATGAGCTAAATTCAAATCCAACCAGAATTTAAAAAGAGCTTTGTGGATGGGAAATAGAATTTCAAAGAGATTTTAAACAAACCTGATGACCAAAATGAAGGGGGAGAATGAAGACAAAAATATTAAAAGTAATGTGAAGCTATTAGAATTTTAGACACTATTATATTTATGTAGAAGGGTTTCCAAATAGTGCAACAAAAGAAAAATAGGTCAGACATAGGCCATAAGAATTCAATCAAGTCAGGATTCAATGACAGACAGCAGTAATCTACCTCGAGAGAGTGTACACAAGGCAATCAAAACGTATTAAAAAAAAAAAAAAAAACAAGAAAAAAATAAACACATAGAATAAATTAAGAAATACAATAAAGTTGGATGTATACATGACAGCCTATCATGAAGACTATAGAATAGCTGTGTCTGGTGCATGTTCTCAGGACTGGGACTTCAGAAATAAATAGGGGACCAGCACTCTAGGCATAGTGGGTAAAACCACCACCCGCAGTGCCAGCATCCCATATAGGTTCTGGTTCAAGTCCCAGCTGCTCCTCTTCCAATCCACCTCTTTGCTATACCTGGGAAAGCAGTACAAGATGGCCCAAGTCCTTGGGCTCCTGAACCTGCACGGGAGACCTGGAGGAAGCTTCTGGCTACTGGCTTCGGATTGGCCAAGCTCCGCCCATTGTGTCCAATTGGAGAGTGAACCAGTGGATGGAAGATCTCGTTCTCTCTCTCTTACTCTCTCTGCCTCTCCTTTCTCTGTGTAACTCTGACTTTCAAATAAATTAAAAAAAAAAACTTTCAAAAAAAGAAAGAAATGGTAAGAAGAGCTTAATACATCTGCTGATCTCTCCTTGTTCCAGCCTTACTGTTTACAATGGGCTGACTGACCTCGGAGTCTCTGGTTTAGGATTCTTCTACCAACCACAGCTCTGCTTCTTGCTCCAACTTAAAGATTACCTCAAGGTTAGTAATGCAGGAACCTGTTAAGAAGAAATAATGTGTGGGCTGGCATTGCGGCATAATGAGTTAAGCTACCATCTGCAATGCTGCCATCCCATATGGGCACTACCTCGAGTCTCAGCTGCTCCACTTCCAATACAGCTTCTTGCCAATGCACCTGAAAGCAGTGGAGGATGGCCCAAGCCCTTCTGCTTCTGCACCCGTGTGAGAGACCCTAATGAAGTTTCTGGCTCCTGGCTTTGACTTGGCCCAGCCCCAGTCATTGCAGCCACTTAGGGAGTGAACCAGAGGATGGAAGATCTCTCTCTCTCTCTCTGTAACTCTGGTTTTCAGACAAAAAGTTTTTTAAAACACAGAGAATGTAGTATTTTTCAAATCCCTAAGTCCAGTTCTAGAAAGACAATAGTTTGGCTTCAGGAACTGTGCAACAAAACAACAAGTGTGAGCCCTTTGCTGGAGGGTGGATTACTCACATTCTGCATGGACTCAAATCCTATGCCTAAACAGAATTATACCTTATAAAGTATCCACTTGTTTAACAAATGGGAAGAAAGCTTCACTGGGGAGTTTCACTCACCTAAGGACAGTAGGCTGCGGTAGGTCTCCCGCATCACATCCCTGTAGAGCACCCTCTGAGCACCGTCCAAGTCATATCAGTCCTCCTGGGAGAAGTCCACAGCCAGGTCTTCAAATGACACCAACATGTGTAACATCACATTTCTCCTCACCATATCAGCTCTGGTCACAAAACAGGAGGACAGGGTGTGCAATCTCTGTGTGTCTCATATGTCTCTTACAGAAGATGAAGCTTATTTCGTACTCCATATGTCAACAACAACAAAGAATTACAAGGAAAATTCCTTGCTTCTTTAGCCATTTACAAAACTACTATGACAGTTTCCCTTATATATCCACAACCATCCCTTCCTGGTAAGGTTAGGAAGGATGGACTTCCGATTCTGTAAGATCACAGTGTAGTCTGTACACATCAGTATTCACACATAACTGAAATCACATATGGGGTCTATTGAGACAAACTCATCCTAGATTTAAACGCAAAGTGTTTCATCAGGTCACACTTCACTGAAAAGCTGAAGATGGTTATCAGTGTGTTCTCATGAATGTGAAAATGCAGAAGTCACATTGCAAAAGCACAAACACAGAGACCAGGTGAAATGGAACTACAAACATCACCTCTAGTGAGTGCTCCTGGCTGTAAGGAGATGAAGGCAGGAAACACGCTCCAGGAGCTGACAACTTAGTGATTCTTTACTTATAGAGTTGGCCTGATTCCAACAATAAAATGTGCTCTGCTAAGTAACTGTGAAAACTGCTTATACAGTGTTCTTAAGCACCCATATATTGCCTTCAAAAGCCAACACAATTGCTAATGTTCCCATGAAAACGACTGCCTGCTTCATAAAACCCAAGGCATAAATTATGATAAATCAATAAAAACTAGAAGCTATTTAGCAATTTACATTTTTAAGTTACACCCCAGAGGGAGAATGAGAAGGAACCAGAGGGACAGAGGGGAAGAAGTTAGAGCAGGACATGACCACTGACCATCAGGACACAGAGCAATAACACTGATGAAGAAATTCATTGTGAAAAAGAAAAAAGTAAAAGAAAAAGAAAAAGCAAGAACAAAATTCATTTCTAATTTGTTGTGTACAGGGTAGACAATGGAATTTAATTTGATACTATGTGCATGAGGTGCAGGTAGACACAGGTACAATAAACTGTAACTGAAAAAAAGGAAAAAGAGTATGATGAGATGAAGCGAAACTGATCGTGGACACAATGTTTTTAAAATTTCAAATCTCTGGCTATGTCCAGTCATATAAACTAGAGCTCAGAGAGAACTGTAAACTGCAGATAAAGATTTTGGAAGTAGCAGAACTTCCGTTAAGCCTTAAGCCAACAGAGTGAATGTAATAAGAAGAGCTAAGAGAAGAAGGCAGAAAGGAATGAGTGCAGAATCCGAGGAAACACTAACATTTACTGCTAGAGGAAGGGAAGGAAAGCCTAGTAGAACCAGACAAAGCAGAACGAATTTCAAAGTATTCCAGGAATAAGAAAAAGCTCAAAATTACAAAACCTATTAATGTAAGTATCTATGAGTTCAACATTTCCAGCACCAAAATGAATTTATATTTTAATTCTATCCCCCACAACCTTTTTAAATTACTTTAGTATATTTCATCATAGTCACGGGACAATGGAAAGAAAATTCTGTGATAATCCACAGACACTGCAAAAGTATATTTTAAAATATTTGCAATTATAAAACAGATCCTCAGTTAGAGATATCAGTATATTCTTCTTACAATTAAATTCATTTTTAACTATTTCTAAGTCAGAATAACAGGGAGAGAGAAAGAAAGAGATTTTAAATACACTGGTTCACTCCCCAGATGGCTGCAACAGCAAGGTTCTATGCCAGGCAAAAGCCAGGAATCCAAGCATTTGAACCATCGTCTGATACTTCCCAGGATGCATTGGGAGGGCACTGGATCAGAAGCACAGTAGCTAAGGTTCAAGCCAGGCATTCTGCTAATAGATGTGGGAATCCCAAGCACCAGTTTAACCCATTGCACCACAATGACTGCCCCTAATACATTCTTCGTAGCATTATAAACTATATACATTTTAGCCTAAAGGCAGAAACAGAGTTAAAGGGCAAACACTGGAAAATAGGGATGCTCCATCATCACAATTATTCAACACTGGATAAGAGGTGCTAGTCAATTCAAGAGAAAAGTAGATGAAAATGAGTATGATTTGTTTATAAATTATACCTACATGACCCAGACGATCTACTGAAAACGACTCTGATTATGATGATTTAGCAATAAAAATAACATAAAAGTGATCAGATAGGAGTGGGCATTTAACACAGCAACTAAAATGCCCATACTGCACATTAAAGTGCCCAGGGTTTTATTCCCACACTGGGGCCCTGACCCCAGCTTCCTGCTGCTGATGCAGGCAGGGCTGATGACGCCAGGGATGGCCAAGCAGAGGTGCTACAGATCAACTTTCTGGCTGCAGGCTCTTCCAGCAAAGTCCCAACCTCTGCAGGCATTTTGGGAGTGAATCAGCTGATAGCAGCTCTTTCTGTCTTCTTTTAATATCTAAAAAAGAAAATAAATAAACATGTTAAAGATTACTTATTTGAAAGGCAGTTAGAGAGAGATTTTCCACACACTGTTTCACTCCCTAAAGGACTACAATGGCCAGGGCTGGGTCAAGCTGCAGTCAGGAGCCAAGAACTCCATCCAAGTCTCCCACATGGGTAGCAGGAGTGTAACCACTTAGGCTGTCTTCTGCTGCTTTCCCAGGTGCATCAACAGGCAGCTAGATCAGAAGCAGAGTAACTGGCATTTGAGCTGGTGCTCTGATATGGGAACGCCAGCAGTGCATGCGGTGGGTAAACCAGCTGTACCATAATACCAGCCCCATCAATAGATATTTTAAAATTTTTATTTATTTGTATTTGAAAGAGCTACGGAGAGGAAGAGACAGAGAGAAATATCTTGCATCTACCGGTTCACTCCCCAGATGGCCACGATGGTCAGGGATGAGCCAAGCCAAAGGCAAGAGCTTCATCCAAGACTCCCACATGGGTGGCAGGGACCCAAACACTTCAGAGTCACCTTCTACTGCTCTTTGCCCAGGCCACTGACACAGACCTGGATCAGAAGTGTAGCAGCCAGGACATGAACCAGTGCCCATATGGGAAAACAGCATCACAGATGGCAACTTTTTTTTTTTTTTTAGATTTTTATTTATTTGAAAGGCAGGCTTAGAGAGAGATCTTCCCTCTGCTCGTTTATTCTCCAGATGGCCATAACAGCCCCAGGCCAAAGCCAGAAACCAAGAGTTTCTTCCAGGTCTCCCATGTAGGTAGCAGGGGCCCACACACTTTTGGAAAAGCTTTGGAAAAAAATTGTAGCACAACTGTTAAGGGCAGAAATTAGATTGAGGGAACCAATAAAGGGGAAACTCATACATTTTGTGTATTTGACCAGAGGACATTCTGCTGCTTACATACAAATTATGGAAGTAAAAGCTGCTGTTTTACTTGCTCAGGATGTAATAGAGAAAATTTCAGGGCTTAGCGGACAATCAAAAATAGGAGAAGAGAAAATTAAGTCCTGTAAAGAAAGCTAAAGAAGTTAAGTATCTAAATTTGTGAGCGTAATTGACCAAAATTACTGGCTGACTACTATGCTACTTGTAAAAATTTCAGCGGAATCAATAAAAAGCAGCCAATGAAAGCTAAAAGAAATAGTTACTAATCACTGCAAAAATAAAAAGCATGGGATTGGAATGAAGCTAGTTAACAGCCTTGGAGAACAGAAATCATTCTCCTAAAGACTTAATAGTGTCTGCAAATTCTGCATCACATGACTTACAATATTGAGGATAAAATTCAGAATCACTACACATGTGGTGACTCATACTCACAAGAGAAAAGTCTTTAGAAAGAAACTCAGATTTAGTCAGATATTGCAAGAAGCAAACAAAACACCTGAAGTATCTCTAAATAGCTTTCAGTATTTAAAGGAGGATATAAAAATAATATAAAGGATGATAGACAAGATTACCAAGAGAGGACTAGGAAAAAACTGCAATTTAATTTCTATAGCTATAAAATAGAGTAACAATAATAAAAATCTATTTATAGGCTAAACAGTTTGGAAAAGGAACAAAAAACATAATAGAGGGGCCAGTGCTGTGGTGTAGTGGGTTAAGCCACCAACTGCAGTGCTGGCATCCCATATGGGCGCCAGTTCAAGTCTTAGCTGCTCCCCTTCCAGTCCAGCTCCCTGATAACGCACCTGGGAAAGTAGAGGAGGACGGTTCAAGTCTTGGGCCCCTGAACTCAAATGGGAGACCTGGAAGAAGCTCCCAGCTCCTGGTTTCAGCCTGGCCCAGCTCTGGTCATTGCGGCCGATTGAGGAGTAAACCAGTGCATGTGGAGGAAGATCTCTCTCTCTCTCTCTCTTTATCTCTCTTTCTCTCACTGTGGTTTTCAAATACAATAAATAAATCTTTAAGAAATAAACACAAATAATATAATTTGAAATATGGTCTGGCTTTGATGTGTCCCCCAAGAGCATGTGTTGGAAACTTAATCCCCAAGACAATAATTTCAGTTCTTAGGAACTAAAACACCAATTTTAAAAGGGCCTGAGGCTATGAGATTTATCTCTTACTCTCTCACCATGTAATGACTTCTGTCATGCTAGGATGATAGGAGATAATTTAAAAAAAAATTTTATTTATATCCTATCCATTTTATGACATTTTTATAACAACATAAAATAAATAAAATAGATTAATACATATTTTCTAATTTTTTGAAGATTTTATTTGTTTATTGGAGAGGTAGTGTTATAGAGAGAGGGAAAGACAGAGAAAAAGGTCTTCCATCCACTGGCTCACTCCCCAAATGGCTCCAATGGCCAGAGCTGAGCCAATCTGAAGCCAGGAGTCAGGAGCTTCTTCCATGTCTCCCACATGGGTGCAGGGGCCCAAGCACTTGGGTCATCTCCTAATGCTTTCCCAGGCTATAGCAGAGAGCTGGATCAAAAGAGGAGGAGACGGGACTAGAACCAGCACCCATCTGGGATGCTGGCCCCACAGGCAGCAGCTTTACGTGCTATGCCACAGCACCAGCCCCTTTTCTAATATTTTAAAAAATGAGTTAATTATTTATTTTAAAAGGCAGAGTGATAGAGAGAGAACTTTCATCAATTGGTTCACTCCCTAAATAGCCACAATGGCCAGGGCTGATGTAGGCAAACTAGGAGCCTAAAACTCCACCTAGGTCTTCCAAATATGGATGACAGGGGCCCAAGCATGTGGGCAGTCATCTGCTGCTTCCAAGTGCATCAGCAGGGAGATGGATGGGAAGAGGAGGACCCAGATTTAGGCCAGCACTGAAGCCAGCACTCTGATATGAAATGCCGGCATTGCAGCTGATGGTTAAACCTACTGTGCCTCACAGGCCCTAATATTTTCTAACATTTGTGAAAGAGAGAAGGAAAATGAAGAAGGCTTTCAAAACCTGCTAACGGAAGTTCTCCAGGATGAAAGGAAAAAGTACAAGGTTCTAATATGGATTTACAGGAAAGAATCAAGATCACTGAAAATGGTAAACATGTGGGGGTTGAGCAAGCATTGTGTTGTACCAGCATAAACCACCCCCTAAAATGCCAGCATCCCCTATGAGCACGGGTTCAAGTCCTGGCTGCTCTATGTCTGATCCAGGTCTGTGTTAATGCACCTGGGAAAAGCAACAGAAGATGTCCTGAGTACCTGGGCCACTACCACCCATGGGGAAGACCTGGATGAAATTGTAGGCTCCTGGCTTTGGCCTTGCCAAGCCCAGCCCTGGTTGTTGTTACCTCTTCCTCCCTATCTCTGTAACTGTCTTTCAAATAAAAATAATAATAAAAAATTGTGTGGGAAAGATAGAAAGCTATATAGCTGTTTACTTAATTTTGTCAAAAGAGGTATGATTATTTGAAGAAAAGCTAAAAGTATAAAAGTAGTAAAATGTACAGGTGTCAAAAATAGAACTTACAGGGGCTGGGGCTGTGGAATAGCAGGTAAAGCCGCTGCCTGCAGTTTTGGCATCTGACATGGGCATCAGTTCAAGTCCCAGCTGCTCCACTGCTGATCCAGCTCTCTGCTGTGGTCTGGGAAAGCAGTGGAAGATGGGCCAAGTTCTTGGGCACCTGCACCCACCTGGCAAACCTGGAAGAAGCTCTTGGCTCCTGGCTTCAGATCAGTGCAGCTCCAGCTGTTGTGGCCATCTGGGGAGTGAACTGATGGGTGGAAGACCTTTCTCTCTCTGCCTCTGCCTCTCTGGAACTTTGCCTTTCAAATAAATAAATAAATCTTTTTTTTTAAAAAAAGGAACTTATCTATTGAACAGTTCCTATATTGTATATGAAGCAGTACAGTATAATTATGAGAATATTGTGATAAGTTCCTCATAGTTTAAATCTTTGGAGCAATTAACAGCAAATTCATGCACAATCAGAAAGTTAATGAAACAAAGCAGTGTATATGTTTGGTAGCACTGCCACAATGCGTACTATAGACTGGTGGCATAAGCAACAGAACATCATTTTGTCATAGTTCTGGAGGACCAAGTTCAAAGAACAAGCTGCCTCCAGGGTTGGTTTCTACTTTCCTACTGATGCCTTTCTCTTTGGTTTGAAGGTGGCCAAATTCCCACTATGACCTCATCTGATCTTTCCTGTGTGCTCTCTTCCCTCATGTATCTTACAAAGTCACAACTTGGATTGGATTAGGATCCACCCATAGTCTTCGGTTAACCTTAATTGCCTATTTGAAGGACTTAGGCTAAGAGATCAGTTCAAATGCTTTCACACTACACAGGGTTTCCTGGGCTTGATATCTGGTTCTGCCTTCTGACTCCAGATTCCAGGATGAATAAATTCTAGGCAGTAATGATGGTTCGAGTACTTGAGTTCCAGACACGCATATGGGAGACCTAAATTGAATTCCTAGCACTTGACTTCAGCCTAGCCCAGTTCCAGCTATTGCAGGCATCTGCAGAGTAAATGAGTGGATGGAAGCACTCTCTGTCTTTGAAATAAATTTAAAACATTTAAATAATTAAAAAATATTAGATGAGGCAAAAGTAAGGTAATAAAGAAAAAAGAGATAGAAATCAGATGAGACAAGTAGAAAGCAAGTATATGTACTATCATAAATATGACTGATAAAAGTTCCATTTCAGACTTCATGTTCTATAAGAATTTAGCTTATTTTCATCTAAGTTTCAATTTGAATCATATAATATATGTCTTTTTCGTGTGGTATCAGAAAGAATAAAAACCAATTTGTATGCGGCTCACTTGGTTAATCCTCCGCCTGCAGTGCCGGCATCCCATATGGGCGCCGAGTTCTAGTCCTGGTTGCTCCTCTTCCAGTCCAGCTCTCTGCTGTGAACCGGGAAGGCAGTGGAGGATGGCCCAGGTGCTTGGGCCCCTGCACCTGCATGGGAGACCAGGAGGAAGCACCTGGCTCCTGGCTTAGGATCAGCGCAATGTTGGCCGTGGCAGCCATTTGGGGGGTGAGCCAACAGAAGGAAGACCTTTCTCTCTGTCTCTGTCTCTCTCTCTCTCTCACTAACTCTGCCTGTCAAAAAGAAAAAACAAAAAACAAAAAACAATTTGTACTCAAATTGGACAGCTTTAATGTCTTGTAAGTATGCCAATTTTACCTTGTTCATGTATATTCTCTGATGCTGAATTATATCTATTATTGTGTTTTCATTTTAAGTAATAAACCCCCTTGGGGCTGGCATTGTTGTGTCACACAGACTAATCTGCTGCCTGTGATGACAGTATCCCATATAGGCACAGGGTCACACCCTGGCTGCTCCACTTCCAATCCAGCTTCCTGCTAATGTACCTAGAAAATCAGCATTAGATGGCCTAAATACGTGGACCCTTGTCACCCATGTGAAACACCTGGATGGAGCTCCAGGTTCCTGGCTCTAGCCTGGCCCAACCCCAGTCATTGTGGCCATTTAGGAAGTGAACCAGATAGAAAATTTCCCTTTATCTCCCTCTTTCGCTGTAACTCTGCCTTTCAAACAAATAAATTAAATAAATAAATCTTTAAAAATAATTAATAAAGCTTCATAAATTTCCTAAAATACAGGGCTGAAACAAGCTGAGGAATAATTAGGTAATCAACTTACTGGAGACACATTCGTTTCTCTTGTCTTAGAAACACGTGGAGGTCTCTAATAATACCTGGAAGAGAAGGTGAATGGAGCAAGTTCTCAGTGAAGTGGCTGAGGTTGCTTTGAGATTCTGCTGTGCAAAGCAAGATCATAACACAAACGAATTGGGAATAACAGACACATTAGATCAAAAAACAAAAACAATCAGATTCCCAAGGGGGAATACATCCTTTCAAATGAGAAGGGGCAGGAAAACGCTCCCTGAAAGAGCACTCACAATTCCATTAATTGGTAGAGATTAAACTACAAGTTACCAATAGGTTACTGAAAAGGTTTATTTGCTATTGATTTTGTAAGATTAATACTGCTGCAAAGAAGTGTAATAATTTGGAAGATTCCAATAAATTGTAGTATAACAAGGAAAGAAATAGCATGGTGTGGCTAAAATTTATACTACAGAAAATACTGAGTAGAATTAGATATTTTTCTATCAATATATATGTTCTACAAAGGATTCCACATTTGTATTTCCCCCAGAACTTCTCTTGCTGTTACACATCTAATAGTCCATAGAAAGTTTGACTCTTACAGATTGATTTTTTTGCCCAACAATGATAAGGAAATTAGAAATAATATATACTTACGTTAATATACTTTTCAAATAATTGATCTAAATAGAATGCCTTTTTGTATTCAAGCCTTTGTGTATTCCTTCCCCACAGTGACTATTGATTTTGTTATTTGCCTTACATTAGCACACAGCAAAACAGGAAATATGATGCAAAATGTTAACCAGAATCTGCCGACTGCGGTTTCCCTTATGATGGGACACAATTATTTTGTGAAGATGCTTGGTACTTGCTGTTGGAGACACAGGGCCTAGCCAAGGGCCAGTGCCAATCACCAGACAAATGAGTGAAGCCATTAGCAAGGCACCAGCTTCAGGACAGGCCCCAGGTGACTACACCTTCATTTCTGATCCCAGAAAACATCCACTCAGGAAATGACTAGCTGACCCATCTTAAAATGCTGAATTAGGATTACAAATAAAGTGCTTGATTTTAGCCCTACATGTTTTTGCTTTTTTGTTACATATCAAATGCTGATATGTATTGGTTAGTAGGAGAGAAAAAAATGAATTACATGCCCAATACAATTATCAGATCTCCAATCACACACAACATTTATGAGCATGATATATGGCAATCAGATGGATGCCAGCAAGGTCAGCGACACACACAGTAACTGGAGATCATAAGACAATTCTTCAATTTTTACATGTATTTTGCATTGTATGACATTTCATTTGTATTTATCAAAACAATTAGTAAAAAGTGATTCCCATTTTAAATGTTTGAAAAAAGGCTAATACTAACTTTCTACAAACTTCATGATTATCAACAGTTGATAACTAACATGCGAGAATAATCTGCATTACACTTTTGGGCTCACACGATCCATTTACAGTATGAGGGAGAAAGGATAGTCCTGGGTCAAGTCAAAGTTCTCTAAAATAGTGCTTGTTTTAGATTGTGGTTCCTAAAATATATCTCAAAACTAACCGTGAGTTTTGAATTGTGGCAAGAAAGACAGCACTACTCAAAGTCAAGTGTGCTTTGGACTGGTGGTGTGGCACACTGGGTAAAGCTGCCACCAGCATCCTTCCATGAGTGCTGGTTCCTGTCTGGGTTGCTCCACTTCTGCCTAAGCTCCCTGCTAATGGCCTAGGAAAAACAGAGGAATATAGCCCAATACTTGGGCCCCTAATACCCACATGGGAGACCTGGAAGAAGCTCCTGGCCCCTGGTTTCAGCCTGACCAACCCCCAGCCATTTTGGCCATCTGGGGAGGGAACGGGTAAAGGGAAGACTCTGATTCTCCCTCTCTCTGCAACTCTGACTGCCAAATAAAGCAATAAATCTTTTTTTTTTTTTTTTTTTTTGACAGGCAGAGTGGACAGTGAGAGAGAGAGAGAGACAGAGAGAAAAGTCTTCCTTTGCCGTTGGTTCACCCCCCAATGGCCGTTGCGGCCAGCACACCGCGCTGATCCGAAGCCAGGAGCCAGGTGCTTCTCCTGGTCTCCCATGTGGGTGCAGGGCCCAAGGACTTGGGCCATCCTCCACTGCACTCCATGGCCACAGCAGAGAGCTGGCCTGGAAGAGGGGCAACCGGGACAGAATCCGGTGCCCCAACCGGGACTAGAACCCAGTGTGCTGGCGCCACAGGTGGAGGATTAGCCTATTGAGCTGTGGCGCCAGCCAGCAATACATCTTAAAAACAACAAAAAAAGTCAGTGTGCCTGACATCCACAAATCATGTGACACTGTCAACTCACATATCTCCTAAAATCTACTTTGTTTCATCTCTCTTCAGGCAAACAGGTCCTGTAACCCTTCTTGTACTGCCAGGAAGAACTCTCAGGACAGAGAGCATCATCACCTCTCTGGTACCAACTGTGACAAACTAGGTTTCAGAGCGCTCCAGCTCTGGAAATAATGGGGGTAGAATGAAGGAATGGGAGTGGATTAGGGAGTGATGTAGATACACTCCCGGATAGGATGGGTTCCCCTTCCACTGAAGGCCACATCTTTCAGACCAATGAGTAATATTTTCTAGGGCCTTGCTTCTCACAGATCATATGAAATTTCCAATATTACCCAGTCTTTAGTAGCTTATACAGGAGGTAAGATAACATCACTCCAGGCTGGCACTGTGGCGTAGTGGGGAAAACCGCCACCTGCAGTGTTGGCACCCCATAAGGACACCAGTTTGAGTCCTGACTGCTCCACTTCTGATCTAGCTCTCTACTATGGCCTGGGAAATCTATAGAATATGGCCCAAGTCTTTAGGCCCCTTCACCCATGTGGGAGACCTTCTGGCTGTGGATCGGTACAGCTCCGGCCATTGTAGCCATCTAGGGAGTGAACCAGCAGATGGAAGACCTATCTCTCTGCCTCCACCTCTCTCTAACTCTGCCTTTCAAATAAAGAAATAAATCTTTTAAAACAAAAAAGATAGGCCGGCGCCGCGGCTCAATAGGCTAATCCTCTGCCTGCGGCGCCAGCACACTGGGTTCTAGTTCCGATCGGGGGCCGGATTCTGTCCCGGTTGCCCCTCTTCCAGTACAGCTCTCTGCTGTGGCTCGGGATGGCAGTGGAGGATGGCCCAAGTGCTTGGGCCCTGTACCCGCAAGGGAGACCAGGAGAAGCACCTGGCTCCTGGCTTCGGATCAGCGCGGTGCGCTGGCCGCAACGGCCATTGGGGGGTAAACTAACGGAAAAAGGAAGACCTTTCTCTCTGTCTCTCTCTCTCACTGTCCACTCTGCCTGTCAAAAAAATTTTTAAAAATAAAAAAAAAAAAACAAATCAGCACTCAAATCTCCATCTCTCTGGGCAGTAGGATCAACAGTTGCCTCAGCCATACAATGCTACAATCTTGACCTTTAAAAGGGATTCATTTGTTCCACTATGAAGCGTCATGGAGAAGGTATGAGCCAAAGGGTTATTCTTTCATGTGGATTCCAATTCATGGAATCTGCTCTTGCTTACAGCAAACTATTGTATTCTAAAGAAAATAGGATTGGGACGGGCATTGTGGCATAGCAGGTAAAGCTGTTGCCTGCAGCACCAACATCCCATATGAGTGCTGGTTCAAGATCTGGCTGCTCCACTTCTGATCACCTCCTTGCTAATGCGGCTGGGAAAGCAGCAGAAGATGGCTCTCAACTGCTTGAGTTCCTGCACCCACATGGGAGACCCAAAGGAAGCTCCTGGCTTCAAATGAGCCCAGCTCTAGCCATTGCAGCCATTTAGGGAGTGAACTAATGGATGGAAAATCTCTCTCTCACTCTCTCTCTCTCTCTCTCTCTCTCTGTAAACTCTGCCTATCAAATAAACAAATAATACTTTTTAAACAATAAGAAAGAAGAGAATACGATCATCCTTCAGTACTCTTAATTTCCCTCAGAGCTTCAGTATTCTTGGAAACTAGAATTTGTGTGAGTGTCTACACACTCAATTTAAACAACATACTAGGCAGGATACACGTGCAGCAGGGGGCAGGAAGTTCCACTTGCTGAGGAGATGCAACAAACCCCACAAACACAACTACACTGTTGTAAACAGCCTGTACGTGGGCTGACAATGATTTCTCCGGGAAATCAGGGCTATGTCACTGGTACTGGGAATGCCTTCAGGTTACAGATGGATAAACCAATGCCATATAGGTCAGTAACAGGATCCTCTCGTGGCTGAGCTGGAACTAGACTCACTCCAATCCCGGCTCATACAATCTGCAGGTGCTCCTTGCCCCACTGCCATCTTGGATTGACCACATCATTTGTGGAACATGTGAAATCAGATTCTGCATGATGGAAGAACACAGGCCTTCTAGCAAAGCACCTACCTCCAGCAGAGTCATCACTGGAAGCTCAGACCGTGGTGGGCTTCCTCACCCTCAGACCTTAGGTTCTAATGACTGTGCTGTTCCCCACAGGCCCAGAGCTGTGGCAAGCATCTCTCTATCAGGCCTCACCCACATGAGAACCACCGATGCTTCTGCTCCCAACAAGAGGAAAACAATGTTCCACTCCCCAGAGACCCCCGTGGTCTGTGGGCCGCATCTTTCCCTCTGGCACTTACCTTCAGGAACACAGAATACATTAAGTGCCTTTGAATCAGCATCAGGACAGTTGCAGGGCCTAGAATTTCAGGGAAGAAGAGGACGGGAGTGAGCAACATGACCCACGCTGAGAAAGACCTGAAAAATCCCTTCCCATGGATCTGTGCTGGTGCTGTCATGGGAGGGAGAGACTTCATTTCCCCCAGGTCTCTGCACCCCTTCACAAAGAAATAAGAAAATGATGTGTCTATTTCCTGGGCACTCAGCCCTGCTTCCTTGAGACCAGATGTGATGCATCAGAATTGGTCTCTATAGAATTCCAATTTCTAATTTACGGCTTAACAAACTCATATTTGAAAGGAATGTGTTAAGAACACAGAAATGTGGACATGGATGATCACTGTCATTACACTTACTTTTCAGTTCTGACAACTGTACTGTGTTTATAGAACACATATGTATTTATTGCAGATCTTCCATAAAGCATGGAGAAAACTGCAATGACTATTCTATTTCAAGATACTTGAACAAGAAACTGATATTACTGTGGCAACTCATGTCTAGCCTTGTTCTCATCTAATGTAACTTGTGAGGCACCCATGAATCATATTCCAGAGTTGGGAAAACTCTTCTAGTGCATACACGGGAATAAAATAGTGGGTCCTAAGGTGGGTGCATCCCAAATTAATTGTATAATACAAAAATTTCAATGCCTGGTAACTAGTTGCCTAGGAACTCCTGAAATCCCTCTGTCCACCTGTGTCACAAATTCCTCCTCTCCCCTTATTCTTTTGAGAGCAGGATCTCATCTATCCCTGCCATTTGCTGCTTTCCACCTCCAACTAGGCAAGTAGCTCAATAAGTAAGGGTTTCATGGAGCTCCCACGGCTATAGTGGCTCCTCTCCAAATGGGGAAGGGCGTGGTTCCTGCTGTGTACTTGAGTGGAAGTGCTGTCTCAGCTCACAAACTATCCATGGTTTCCTCTAAACCTAAGATAAGATTTGCTGTGTTCAAATTCCTGTCTTCCCTGATTCTGCCCTTGCCCTGCAGTGACTTTATTCTGCAAATTAAGGAAGCTCAGTCTCAAACTTCTAAGCCTAGGTACCTCCATCTTGGACAAGAGAAGCAACTGTGCCATGAATACGTGGGTTTCAAAGTTATACTCCTTGATATAGAAAATGAACTCCCAGGGGTCAAAGAACTAGACTGTACCAAAGAGTATTTGATCTTTATGTCCTTTCCTAGAAATGGTTCCTCCTAAATAGGTAGTCACATACTTCTGCCAGCAGGAGCTGCTCATGCTAGGATTGAAGGTATGGATTTTGAGAGGATTCCTGAAAATAGAAAAAACAGTAAGACCGTATTCACTGAAAGTTTTTTGTCCATAAGCACTCATTTTCTCTGTCTCCCAGCTACATCCTCCATGTGTTACTGGACTTCACAATTTGGAGCAGTCAGTGTCAAGATTTTTAATAGTTGCCTTTAACCGAATGCAGAATGAATAGCTCCTGTTGTTAAGATAAAGGGGGTGATCATCAGAGTGAGGTTGACTAGCTCAGAATCCAACAGATTAAGAGAGCTGAGGTCAGTCTTTTCTGATTACCACTACTAAAAATAGTTAGTCACATACCTGTGTTATCTGGTCATGTTTGAAATGGTATTAATTTATTTCACAAATATATTCTTAAAAAGATACTCAAATAAAATTAATATCACCTTTCCTCACAATCCGCTGCCCTGAATCAATCACTGTGATGTACAAGATACACCATACTGTCACTTTGTTATATTTATATCCACATCTCTATAGAAATGTGCAGTGTAGCCTACAAAAGGAAAGATTTCATGTGGAATACAACAATATAAAACATTACACAAAACTCTGAAATAATCCAATATATCCTCTTAAAAATTGTCAGAAATCATATAACTTTCTTAAATAGTATAACCGAATTATGAATATAGCTCACTCACCATCCAATTCATCCACCGAAAGTACACATACAATTCACTCCTTTTCAGTTCTGGGTAGCCATACCTGCTGCTGCATTGGAACATATTATCACCTCTACAAGCAAGTAGGAGGCGGGGCATTTGGCCTAGTGGTTAACACTCTCCTGGGGACACCCATATCTCAGAATGCCTGGGTTGGAGTGCCAGTTCCACTCCTGACTGAATTCCAGCTTCCCATTAATGACACCCTGAGGACACATCATCCAGCAGGCAATGGCTCCAGTGGCTGGGACTCTTAAGCCATTTGGAAACCCGCCTCTCAGCTTTTTAAAAGTTGTCTCAAAATAATCAACTTGTTTAAAAACACATACAGACAGAGAAAGAGGGGAGAGACACAGTCCACCCACTAGTTCACTCCCTAAATGCCTACTACATCCACAGATGGGTCAGGCTGAGGCCAGAAATCTTGGGGTTCAATATGGGCTTCCATGCAGGCTGCAGGGATCCAAGTACTTAAACCAATCACCTACTGCCTCCCAGAGGGTGTACTAGCAAGAATATGGAATCAGAAGAACAAGGTTCAAACCCCGGTACTCTCGGATATGAAATGAGGACATCCCCAAAATGTAACGGCTTCACCAATCACCCACCTCAGCATAATCACTTTTTATACTGGAGGATCAGGCAGATATCCTCAGCTTTCCTCTCATGGAAAATACTTACACACAGAAAACCATCCTTTAAAATTTTATTGGTTTTTCCATGGAAAAATAACAACAAGAATACTGAATGAATGAACTGCATCACAGGAGAAAACAGCTCTTGTGCTGTGAGTTTCAGGGTAGGAGTTGGCATCTGGCTACTTGGGGAGATCTCTGCACATTTATGGGTTTGTTGTCAGACTCAGTGCTCTGGATTGGAAATGATTTGTCCCCTCTGAAACTCACGGGGAAATTTAATCCCAATTGTGAATATTAAAAAGTGGGTCCAGGTCAGACTTCAGAAGAGGTGATTAGGATAAATGGCTCTCTCCCGCCCTGTGTTCTTCCCCGAGCCACCTCAGGCCTCTGCCAACAAAAGGACACCGCCAGACGCCGCTCAACCTCGGACCAAAACCTTGAGCCAAATAAACCGCTTCTACCACCCACCCGGCGTGGGACGCTGTGCTCAGGTAACAGCAGAAGGACTCGGTGCCCCAGGAAGAGCTACTCCGAGAGCACCCGGCGGTGCACCTGAGACTCCACTCCCCGTGTAGTTAGAAACTCAGGGCAATCGGGCACCCTGGGCAGAGAGAGGGGCAGGAGGACCCGCAGACCACAGCTCCTCCCCACAGTGCAGTCCACAGTCTCCCTGAGGACAGGCCCGCCCTAACTGCACAAACAGGGCAGACCTGGGGCTGCGGTCCCTGGGCGGAGTCCTCACGGGCGGAAGCCTGGGGTCCTGGCCACCAGCGCAGCTCCCACCCGGTGGGCCCCACACTCACCATTTCCTCGCTTCCGCGGCATTCTGGGGTCCGTGGGCGGCTCCTGCGGTGCAGGAAGGTCACACAGCGCAGCCCCTGAGGCACCCGAGCCCGCTCAGCAGCAGCCCCGGGGACCCCTCCCAGCGCTGCCACAAAGAAAGATCCCGCGGGGCTCCGCAGGGTCGCCCTGAAGTGCCTGATTGGACAGTGGCCGCAGCCGGCCGCGCGACGTCACAGAAGGTGCAGCCAATCAGAATCCCCTAAGCTGGGGCGGTTCCTTGGGGCGGTGCCTGGTAACAGGGGAGGTGGGGCTCAGACTGAAGCCGCCGTGTTCTCCGGCCCGGGTGCTCCGGCAGCAGGGGGCGCTGTCCCTGCTCTGGGCACCTCAGCTTCTGGGCGCCCTCAGCTGTCTGCGGTCCTGCTGGATCCTGTGAGTCCAAGCTTGCTTCCTGAGAGCTGCAGTTTACATGATGCTTGCTGAATGCGTGCCTTTCCCGCAGTCTTGGCTTGCTGTTGTTAGCTCATCTGAAGGTTTGTAAAGCTGTTTATCTGAATGTAGTTAAAGATATCCCATGGACTATTTCATCTTTCATTTCTCTTACAGGGATGTGTTTGTGAGTCTCTGTTTTGTCCTTCAGGTCGTGTTCTGTTTATTTCTTGCTGGTGAATAGTATACCAGTTGATGGCATATATTGACTTTCTACCCAGTAATCTTGTTTAATTTTCTTAATATTTTCTGTTATACCTGAATTATGATGGATTATCTGTTGATAATGGCATCATCCACAAATATTGACAGTTTTGTTGCTTAAAAGTTGGTCCTTTCACTCATTATTTCCTTTTTATTAATTTCTCTGACTACACCTTATGTATAATGTTGAAGAGAAATAATGAAAACAAACAGCTTTGTCCAGGTCTGCTCCCAGGGAAAAAGATTTCAATGTTCTGTGTCAATTATGCTGTTTTTAATAGGTTCATTATAGTAGGTAATCTTAGTTGGAATAATGAAGTTGCTATGATGTACTATTCTAACAGCTTCTTATTTAAGGTAAGGTACTAAATTTGATTAAATCTTCTAAGCGATTATGTAACTTTTTCTTATATTTTTACTCACATGGATAATCGACATTCATTTTGAATTGTTAACCACCTTTGCATCTTTTAGTATATCCAGCTTGTTATTAATATATGATTTGATATATTAACACAATAAATTTTCTTAGAGTATTTGTATTGCTTTTTATTAAAGAGATGTTCCTTAAATTCCTTTTTATTTCATGTCCTTATTTGATTATGCCATCAATAGAATGTTGGATGTACAAGGGACATCTTTACTGCATTATATGATGATACTACTATAGGCTTCGTAAGAGCAGGACAAGGTATCTTTATTTTCCTGAAGAAATTTTATTTAATGAGTACAAATTTCATAAGGAATGCAGTAATTCTTCTGATCATGCTCACCCTTTACCTCCACTCCCACCTCACATCCTCCTCCCTCTCCCATTCTCACCCATTCTCCATTAAGAAAAAAAAAAAGAACTCTCTCTACAGTCAAGAAAAGTGCTATTCAAGCCATTGCTTCTTAAAGTGTCAATTTCACTTCTACAGATTTCCTTTCAAGTGATCTATTAGTTATCACAGATCAGGGAGAACATTTAGTATTTGTCCCTTTGGGAATGGCTTATTTCACTAAGTATGAGGATTTCCAGATTCATCAATTTTGTTTGCAAATGACTGGATTTCATTTTTTTTACCGCTGTGTAGCATTCCATAGAGTATATATCCCATAATTTTTTTATCCAGTTTTCAGTTGACAGACATTTAGGTTGATTCCATGTCTTAGTTATTGTGAATTGAGCTTCAATAAACATAGCGGGGGATGCAGATAACTCTTTTATTTGCTAATTTCATTTCCACTGAGTAAATTCCCAGGGATGGGATGGCTGGATCATAAGGTAGGAGGAGTATATTCAGATTTCTGAGGTATCTCCAAACTGATTTCAATGATGGTTTTACCAGTTTACATTCCCTCAACAGTGGATTAGGGTATCTTTTTCCATACAGCCTGACCAGCATTTGTGGTTTGTTGATTTCTGTATGAAAGCCATTCTAACTGGGGTGAAATGAAACCTCGTTGTGGTTTTGATTTGCATTTCCCTGATGGCTAGTGATCCTGAACATTTTTTCATGTGTCTATTGGCCATTTTGGAGTTCCTCTTTTGAAAAATATCTGCTTAAGTCTTTGGTCCATTTCTTAACTGGTTGTTTGTTTTATTGTTGTGGAGATATTTGATCTATTTGTATATTCTCATTATTAATCCTTTATCACTTGCATTGTTTGCAAATAATTTCTCTCATTCTGTTGGTTGCCTCTTAACTTTCCTGAGTGTTTCTTTTGCTGTACAGAAGCTTCTCAATTTGATATACTCTCATCTGTTAATTTTTGGCTTTGATTGCCTGTGCCTCTGGGATCTTTTCCAAGAACTCTTTGCCTTTGCCAGTGTCTTACAGGGTTTCCCAAATGCTCTCCAGTAATTTGATAATATCAGGTGATAGATTTAGGTCTGTAATCCATTTTTAATTGATTTTTGTGTATGGTATAAGGTAGGGGTTCTGCTTCAGATGCCTGCATGTGGAAATCCAGTTTTCCCAGAACCATTTGTTGAAGAGACTGTCTTTGCTCCAGGGCTTGGTTTTAGCTCCTTGGTCAAATAGCAGTTGGTTGTAGATGCTTGGATTGATTTCTGATGTTGCCATTCTGTTCCATTGATCTATCCATCTGTTTTTGTACCAGTACCACACTGGTTTGATTATAACTGCTTTGTAATATGTCTTGAAATCTGGTATTGTGATGTCTCTGGCTTTGTATTCGTTGTATAACATTGCTTCAGAAATTCAAGGTCTCCTATGCCTCCATATGAATTTCAGCATCATTTTTTCTAGATCTGAGAAGAATGTCTTTGGTATTTTGATTGGTATTGCATTGAATCTGCAAATTGCTTTTGGAAGAATGGACATTTTGATGATATTGATTCTTCCAATCCACGAACATGGGAGATTTTTCCATTTTTTGTGTCTTCTATTTTTTTCTTTAATGTTTGTAATTCTTGTCATGAGATCTTTGACATCCTTGGCTAAATTTATTTCAAAGTTTTGATTTTTTGTAGCTAATGTGAATGCTATCAATCTTAGAAGTTCTTTTTCAGTCATGGCATTGTCTGTATATACAAAGGCTGTTGATTTTTGTCTATCGACTTTGTATCCTGTTACTTTATCAAAGTCTTCTATGGGTTCCAATAGTCTCTTGGTGGAGTCTTTTGGATCCCCTATATATAGAATCATGTCATCTGCAAATAGGGATAATTTGACTTCCTCATTCCCAATTTGAATTCCTTATTTCTTTTTGTTGTCTAATGGCTCTGGCTAAAACTTTTAGGATTCTATTGAATAGCAATGACAAGAGTAGATATCCTTGTCCGGTTCCAGATCTCAGTGGGAATGCTTCCAACTTTTCCCCATTCAATAGGACACTGGCCATTGGTTTGTCATAAATTACCTTGATTATGTTCAGGAATGTTCTTTCTATACTGTTTGCTTAGAGTTTTCTTCATGAAAGGGTGATTTCTCTGCATCTAATGAGATAATCTTATGGTTTTTCTTCAACAGTTTGTTATTGTGATGTATCACATTGATTTGCAAATGTTGAACCATCCTTGCATACCAGAGATACATCACACTTGATCCAGGTGAATGATCTTCCTTATGTATTGCTTGATTTGAAGGGCTAAAATTTTGTTGAGGATATTGGCATCTATGATCATCAGGGAAATTGGTCTGTAATTCTCTTTCTCTGTTGTATCTTTTTCAGGTTTAAGAAATAAGGTAATGCTGGCTTCATAAAAAGAATTTGGGAGGATTCCCTTCATTTCAATTGTTTTGAATAACTTGAGAAGTTGAGTTAGTTCTTTAAATGTCTGGAAGAATTCAGTGGTGAAGAAATCTGGCACTGGCCTTTTCTTTGTTGGGAGGGCCTTTATTACTGATTCAATTTCCGCCTTGGTAATGGGTCTGTTTAGATTTTCTATGTCTTCTTGGTTAAATTCATGTGGGTTGTTTGTGTCCAGGAATATACCCATTTCTTTAAGGTTTCCCAGTTTGTTGGTATACAGCTCTTTGTAGTAATTTCCTATGTATCTTTTTATTTCTGTGGTGTCTGTTGTTACATTTCCTTTTTCATCTCTAATTTTATTGATTTGGGTCTTCTCTCTCCTTTTTCTGGTTAGTTGGGCAATGGTGTGTCAATTTTGTTTATTTTCTCAAGAAAACAGCCCTTCCTTTTGCTTATCTTTTGCATTTTTTTTTGTTTCAAATTTATTGATTCTTCTCTAATTTTAATTAATTCTTTCCTCCTACTAGTTTTTGGTTTGGTTTACTGATATTTTTCTACATAGCTCATTTATTTGGTGCCTTTCCAGTTTCTTGATGTAGGCACCTATTGCTCTAAACTTTCTTCTTAAAACTGCTTTTGCCATATCCCATAAGATTTGATGTGTTGTGGTCTTCATTTGTTTCCAGAAATTTTTTATTTCTCTTTTGATTTCTTCTATGACCCACTGTTCATTCAGGAGCATGTTGTTCAGTCTCCCTGTGCTTGCATATGTTCTAGGGATTCCTGAGTTGCTGATTTCCTTCTTCATTCAATTGTGGTCTGAGAAGATACATGATATGAATTCGATTTTTTTTTTTTTAGTTTGTTGAGATTTGCTTTATGGCCTAGTATATGGTCAATCCTAGAGAAAGTTCCATGCACTGCTGAGAAGAATGTGTGTTCTGCAACTGTAGGATGAAAAGTTCTATAGAGCTCTGTTAAGTTGGTTTTGTCTATAGTGTTGATTAAATCTGCTGTTTCCTTGCTGAGTTTATGTCTGGTTGATCTTTCCATTGCTGGAAGTGGGGTATTGAAGTCCCCCATTACTATTGTATTGGAGTCTAAGTCTCATTTTAAATTCTTTAACATTTCTTTTAAATAGCCAGGTGCCCTGTAATTAGGTGTGTATACATTTATAATAGTTACATCTTCCTGTTGAATTGATCCTTTAATCATTACTTAGTGCCATTCTTTGTGTTTAACAGTGTTTGTGTTAAAGGTTATTTTGCCTGATATTAGGATGGCACCATCAGCCCATTTTTGGTTTCTATTGGCATGGAATATCTTTTTCATGCTTTCACTCAGTCTGTGTGCATCTTTGTTGGTGAGATGTGTTTCTTGTATGCAGCAAATACATGTGTTTGTTTTTTAATCCATTCAGCCAGTCTGTGTCTTTTAACTGGAGAGTTGAGGCCATTTAACATTCAAGGTAACTATTGATAAGTAACGACTTTGCCCTGCCATTTTTCCAGAAATATTCCTATTTTTTACTTTGAATTCCCTTTGAACTGTTACTGA